TAGAGTACATCTTCAAAATTTAAAAAGGAAAAGTGAGAAAAATTTAAAAAGAAAAGAAAAATGTTATATATAGGTAATTATTAAATATAAGATTGATATATGCTGTTCAGCAGTGGCCTGACAGGCTGATGATGATGATGATATACTGTACATTAATTTAGAAAAAGGGAAATTCACATTGAGAAAAATTATATAGAATATAGCCCTCTTATCTAAGGATATCACAGTGCTTTATACAAATATAATTATTTATGATAGTTATTTTTCAATATTATTGTGAATAAATAATTTGTTCTGGGAAGATTTGAATTGCGTGATTAATGTAGTGTTTCAGATGTCATGTGGGAGATTATTCTAGAGGAATGAGGATTATCTTCAATAATAATAAATTCACTTGCTTTTAATATTAACATGACTGTCATGCCATGTTAATGTGTCAGTCATGATGTAATGTAATAATGTCGTTTAAAAACGGGAGAATGAGGATTAATAATAAATTCACATATGTTGGTTTTTAATACTTAAATGACTGTGAGCATGATTTGGATGTTGAGGAAGATAATAATAATAATAATTTATAAAACGCCAATATAACTAAACTGAAGTAAAAATCAAAGGCGCTGTGCATTTTCAAATGTTAAAAAAGTGAGTTTTGAGTTTGGTCTTAAAAATAGCAACTGAAGGCGAGTCGGTAATATGTTTTTGGAGGGAGATCCAAAGTGTGGTAGCTGAAAATAAAATGATCTGTGGCCTTAAGATTTGGTGTTAACTCTTGGAACAATGAGCAAATTAAGGTCAGAAGAACGGAGGGAGGATAAGGAGACATTTAGGAAGCGAGTTTGAGTACTGTAGGTAAGTGGGTGTTGGAGTTGTTGTTTGTTGCTGCTACTGAGTGATATGTGTCTTGACCCCTGGTTTACTCATATTTTGAACATAAGATTTAGGCAAACCAAAGCCATTACACAAGTGAAACTGATGTAGAAGAGTAGGATTACATACTGTAATTAAGTGAATCTCTAGGAAGCTCCCATTACTGTGTACAGTATACTCATATCAAAAATTTATTGATATATACCTACAATAGGATATCTTCAAGGCCTAATTTAGAGGGGGGGAAGGGGGGAAGCAGTCCATAAAATCATCACTCACATCACCAACTAACACAATCAAAGTAGATTGTGTTAGTTCGTGAAGAAAAAAAGTGCATCAAAATAAGCGCGTATTGGTTGTCAAGCACTCTTGTATTTTTACCACACAAAAACTCTGTGCATATTTTAATGCACTTTTTTGTTTCCACAAACTAACACTGTCTAATTTCATTGTGTTAGTTTGTGATGTGAGCAACGAAATGTGGGAATAGCCTGATCCAGCATATAAAGTAAGTTTTCAGTTAGTAGTTCTCCAGCTTAATCATTACAAATAATCTTGCTTTGTATAATATTCTATGGGACATACCACAAGGGAGATTACTTTCAATACAATCCCCATTAACCACCATTAACTGTATTCATTTGCATTCCAGCAAACCCTTTAAATGTTACTCTTGTTACAAACAGCTTGTGTTCTGAGTTGCTATGCAAATATATTGTTTTCTTCAATTGTCTTGATTAGAACTTAGTATAAAAGTGGCCATATAATCAAAAGTGGCCATATAATCAACTCTGTTAGACTCGACTGCTTGGCTTTTTATTCTGTAAATCGCTCACTTAGTGAATTGTTTGCATTTGTAGTTGATTTTTATTAGTTCTCAATTGGAATTTTGAACAAGAAAATTATTTTCTTGCAAATGGAATGATGCATAAATAATACATTTTGTATTCTAAATATTAGCAGGTCAACAATTTAAAGATTTTGTACAGTTAAATTGTTTGAAAAGTCAACAAAAACTGATCTGTTCATCTTAGTCTCCTTTGGAAGTTATTAAAACTGTCTGTTTGAGTGTGTTTTAAGGATTTTTAAAACATTTTATCATAGATGCTAACAAAAAAGGTTTAAATTAAAATTCTCCACAGTGTAAAACCATGGAGGCCTATATATCCAATTAACTAAATATGAAAATTACTTAAGAATTGCATTTGAATATCAACATTAGATTTGTGACAAGGTTGTCTGCTGCTTGTCCACTGTCCAACAAAACAAAACGATCCATTAAACAAATATACTGGTGTGCCACAAAATGTAACGATCTGTTGAATATGTACACTGGACTTACAAGTGTCATCCTACTGATGATTATTTGTACTATATTAATTGTATTGATTTAACTATGTGTCATTGAATTCTCCTGTCAGTTTCATTGTCTTTTTTTCTTTAAAAAATACTAAGTCCTCTTATCTATGATGTAGTTGTTGTTCAAAGTGTCATGATAAATAATGCAACCAGTCAGCTAATCTCCTTGTTCATTCCATGTTTTGTTGCATCTTCTCTTTTATTGTTCAAACTTATAACTTATTCATAAACTTCTGAGCCAAGTAGGGGTACAGAACCATACCATGAATAAGTTATGTGATTGGCTTGTGATTGGTTGCTAAGTGAACAGATTATTATTATTTGCCTTTCAATATAAAAGCATAAAAGGATCACATCCTTTCAGTGATTCAGTTTTAGCTGATTTATACCTTGGATTGTTAAAATTAATATCAGCATATTTTTTTTAATAGAGGAAATTTATTATTTATCTGTCAAATGCCCAAGATATATTTTCTTGGTATAACTTGTATAACTTAACTGCAAACACAAATCTTATGTGCCTTTTTCATTTAAGCCCCCTTTTATGTTGAATTCTTTGCCCATTTCAATTTGTGATTTGCCAAATTTACTTTCTTTGAAGAGAATTCTAAGGAACGTAAACTTGGTTTATTTTCCTCAAACAGCACCTTTAATAATATTTGAATTGGTGCTATTTAAATCTCTAACATAAAGATTTTTCAATACTGATATCTTTATAGAGCAAACAAGATTTATTTTCAACTTATATAAGTATGGAAAATAAGAAATTTAATGATGGGTTGAGTAAAGGTCATGTTGTTTTTCGTGAGTTAAAGCAAACACATAGAATTTACTTTCTAGTTTTTCAAAGACATCTTCTTTTGTTTGAAAGAAATAAAAGAAACACATTAGAGTAAAGGTTAGGTAATTATAGCAACATGATACTAACAACGTTCCCATTGTGATGGTTCCACACTGCATGTTATGAAAACAGCGTATTAGAACTGACTTTCATCCTTAAGAATGCTTTGCGTCCTTGTGTTTTTGTCAATACTTAATGTAAACTTTGACTTGCGATATTTCGCTTGAAGGCCTCATCTTAGGTGTTGTGAGTACCTGCAACATCGATTACAGTTGCTTTGTATTGATTTGTTTCAACCTTTGAAGTTCATCCTTTATCCCTCATTGAAAACTTGTCATCTCTGTAGTCTGTGGATTAAACGGAAAAAAGGTTGAATTGAAATGAATAAAAAAAAATCAGTCTTGTAATAATCATGGAATACCTATGCCTAATGATTCTCTTTTTTTTTTGTCACAAACTGAATGTTTTCAATTTTACTAGTGAGATTTTAAGAGTCAAGTAAAGTTCACCATGTCATTAAACTTGTTCCACGTTTTTGTTTTTGTTTTTTTTTATAACTGATGTACTCTGGAACAATCTGCTGAAAATGTACATAGTGCATAAATACACACTAATACAGTAGGCCTACATTGAATTATATTTTCTTTTCATTTTGTTTTTTTGTTGGGGGGGGGGGGGAGCTGTGGGGGGGGGGTGGCTGTAGATACTTAGCTATTGTCTCCCTTGTAAGTTGTGAGAGTAAATCCGGTTGGTAGAATGATGGGATGCTTCATAAGCTAAAGAAACAAAATGAGATGCCATGCCTAGATAAAAGACTGTCAAGAAAGAACTTATAAGTCAACAATCTGTTATTTGTACAGTTATAATTCAAGTGAATTGTCAACACATAAACTGTGGATGGATATGACTCTGAGTTAAAAAGTAGAAAAAAACAAATCAATGTGAAAATGTCCAGTAGTAGACCTAGTTTTAATTTTGAGAGAGATTTCTAGTGGTATTGTACAATTAACTTACAAAAATACAAGTTGTATAGAGTATGGTTAAATATTTAGTAGAGTATTATCTATATTCTATTTCTGATAACATACTTTCTATTGAATGTTTTTAATGGCTCTTTCTAGAATGGAAGATGTAGTCTGCCAGTGCACTTATGTTTCTAGAAATTAGGGGGGAGAATAATTTTCATGTTTTAATTTTAAATTGAATAACCTATTAATAAATAATTTAATATTGATTAAGCTTAATTCATAGACAGTTTTAGCAAAGAATGCCTATAGCTGTCTTGACGCTGGCTTATTCTTTAAAAGTAAATTGTTTTTCTCAATGGTTAAAATAACATCACGCATACTGTACTTACCCCAAGCGTCTGCTTGAGAACAGTTTATTGTTACAAACAGCTTCCCCACTTAGGACTATAAGTAAGGAATATATTAAGATAATTAAATGATAAATTCAAATTTGTGAAAAGAAGCTAACAATATTATAGTTAATTAAATTAATTATTATTTATATATTCTTTTTATGACTCTTTTGAATTTGAGTCTCCCAAGTGGTCCAGTTTAATAATAGATACTGTAGTTAGAACTTAGCACTATCATGAAAAATAGTACTGTATTTAATTCAATATTATAACAATGAAAAAAATATGTATACTATAGACATGTATAACCATGGAGGAATATATAACTAACTTTAACAAACAAAGGGTATTCGATTGTGAATATTTTTCTAGCCTCACGTTACAGGTGTTTAATGGAAATTAATAGTCTCCTCTGAGAAATTAAGCAGTAACACATTTTTTTTGTAGCATTTGGGGAAAAAAAAGTTAGTTTAAATGAGGTAAAGTAATTGTACAGTCTTCATAATTTATTAAAGATTATGCTATAAAAGAGATGTTTAATGACAGCAGTTTTTTTTTTTTTTTTCTCAGAGTCAGAAAGACTGTGTTCATAGGTCGCTACAAGGTGAGACAGTCAAGTTTGGGAGTAATAAAACACAACCACTACAAATTACGAGTATGCTGACCACAAGTAAATTAACAACCAGCAATGAGGTAAAGTATTCAATATCAAAATGACAAGAAAAAACGAGGCCTTCTCTGTGAGATCTACCCACAGGGGCTATACCCCTGAGGGAAGCTAATTAGTTGACTTAAAATAAGCAAGTATTGCACTATATTCCTTGTTTCGTGGAGTAAGCATGCTTTTTTAAATATTGTATATGAACAATTTGGTGTTACCATTTGTATACCCATAGAGGTGCCTTTAGGCACTCTAATATAACATTTTTGGAGGCTTCAGTGAGGAACTTATTCTAGAGCGGCGGTTATATAAAAATAATAATGCCATGGCGTTTTCCATGCCCATTTCCATGTTACCTATCTCACATATTCCCGCAGTTCAGGCCATTTATAGGTCCTATGTCATCGTAAATATACATTTATAAAGAGATGTTGTCATATCATTGTGTTATTCATTTTAACACTATATACATTGTATTTAAAATGCTCTTTCTCAAAAGTGTTTCATTACACACATGGTAATGTATACTCTCGATTAAGTGCCACGGGGCTTATTCAGAGCAGTGCTTAGCAAAAAATACAGTACGTATAAAATGTTCACACTTCAAATGTCCAATTTAATACAAAGTAGTTTTTCTTATGGATTAATATCTATATTTTAAATCTAAGCTCAATTCTTGACAAAGAATGTGAAAACTTCTCCTCTTTCTGTTTATTTTTATTATTTATTATTCTTTTTATTATTGTATTTTTAGTATTTTATTTTCATTAGCTTTTCTTTATCTTGTTTTATATGTATTTTATAATTTTAATCTTAATATTTTAATCTTAAATTTAATCTATTTATTTTTTTTTTCAGAAGCATCAGACAACTAACTTGCCCCTAGCTTCAACAAGTACAACATTCCCACAACTCTCTCTTGGACAGAAAAACAGCAATATTGAAAGCCTACCACAACTGTCAAATACCCATGGAAATATTGTAACCAGCCAAAAACAAATAAACGATCCCCTCCGATTAACCAAGCACCATACAACTTTGTAAGTTCTCTTAATTATTTTTAGTTGTGTAAAGTAGTTTCTGTAGTTTTCTATTAATTTTTCTGATCCCAATTAGTTATTATCACTATTAATTATATTATTTAAACAGCATTACAGTGCATGTAATTAACCATATTTACCAAAATGGAAAAAAAAAATATATATATATATATTGACAAACTACAATATAATTATTCAGGGAAGACCTAGAAAAAAGAGATGAGATCATTTTTTAGTTGTAAGATTATATAGAAAATAGAAGGTTTTGCTCCAAAGGGTATGGGCTACAGATTGGAAACAATTACCAAGAATGGTAGGTGTTTAGATCTTTGTAAAGGTTGACTTGAAAAGAAACCATTGATCCTAAGGTGATGAACTGTCCGTTAGTACACCATCCATCAACCTAGATCTGTGAAGCCCTGTGCACATACACAGATTCACCTTGCATGGAAATTGCTAAGAAGAAATCTCTCATGTGCATGTCGGTCATTTTCATTGATAATTTTTACCTCACAAAATTATATACAGAAAATTGAGCTGTTTGGTTGCACACGAGGCTAAAACTATGTCAGCACTACCAAAATTGATATGACAAAAATTGTGTACTGTATGTGCACATAATATGGAGATAATATGGGCATCACAATGTCATATTACACCCAAGTAATATCAAATTTGATATTGTGGACAAAGCTTTGTAGCTGAGCTAAATTTGCTTATATTTAGCAGGTGCACAGTAAATAATGTAGAATCGATAAAAAATAAAAAGATAATTTTGCTTATTAATATTAGCCCATGGAATTGTTAGATACTAGCTGCTGTACTATAATTTAAAAGAGAGTTCCAGCAAATCAATTTTTTTTTTTTTTTTTTTTTTTTTTTTCTATTCTCAACTAGGCTCTAGGACATGCCGTGTATGTGGCAATAGGCATGTTGTTTTATCCGAAAGTATGTCTTGAACATGTGGAGACTGTGCTTTAGGACGTATGCTAGTGATATTGGTTTCCAAAAGTTATAAATTTTTTTTTCATAATTTTACAAGCATTGTTAATTAACATCAGTAGTTAATGTGTATATTGAGTATATGCTATTGTCATAGCGCCACTGCACATTGCTTTCTTACCGTGGAAATTGGCGCTATATAAATCCTTGTATCCTTGTTGATTGATTGATTGATTGATGTCAGATCTTTAAATAATGAATGATCCATAATTCAGATTAATCCCTGATGTCAAAAACAAAATTTAAAAAGGCATATTTTGATATAAACAACAAAAAATTCAGAATTCTAAACACTTATTCTAAATACATTAATTAACTTTAGTGTGACATTGAAGCATATAAAAATAGTTTAATTCCATTATACTTATAATAAGCCTACATACTTTGTCAGTTTTTGCCTAATTATTTAGGCCTACTGGTAGCTGAAAACATCAATTAGGCTTAAATTAATATTGGTTATTTTTAATTCGTACATTCTTATACATAACTTTTTCACATCTGAATTTTAAACATTTAGCTTTTTTTTAAAAATAAATCTAAAGTCATCACAGTCTTTTTTTTCCTGTTTAATTTCCTATACTGTCACTGTTTTTCTGCCTGCCAGGCTACTGCCGCACAGATGCGTAAAATTACACGTGCAAAAAAAAAATAAGATCTATCAGCATATTCATTTATTTCATTTTTTAAGACCTTTAACTGTGTTTACCAGTTTTGTAGAGTCTAAAAATAGAATGATAAGGTACTTGTAATAAGTAATTGAAATGATTAATTGGATACAAAATTTTCATAAACATTATCATTGGTTCCATTCTTCAATGGTAAGATTGGTGTGTTTGTTCATTCTCTGCTTTTTTATTTTTTTGACTTCTCAAAGCAGATGGCTAAAAATATTGAATGGATTGTTGTTAATTATGGAGTGAGTGTATAGGTTCTTCCTGACAGTATCCTGTAAATAAACAATGATAGCTAAGTAGTACGGTATAAGAGTCTTTGTCAGTAGGTTGTTTGATTGATAAATCAATTTTAAAATTTTTAATTTGAATCGAAATAATTAAATTCTACTAGTATTACATATTCTCATAAATTACTCCATTTCATTGTTTTTTTACCTCCAGTGATTTTAAGAAGGATGCAAAGTCTGACAAAGTGAAAACAGATCCTAATGGTTACTCTCTTCCTCTGTCTCCCACCGGTAAGCTTTGTCCTGATTAGCATTAATTAAAAAAACAACTATTATTGATATCTTAGTTTGCATTCTTTTCTTCATCAACATTATTCATTATAATTAACTTCCTCATCACCACCATCACTATCTTTATCATCGTAATCAGCAATATCGTCATTATTATAGTCGTAGTCATCATTATCATCATCATCATCATCAGTATTTTACATCTTTACCTCCTACGCATCATTACCACCATCATTATTCCACTTCTTTACCTCCTCTTCCTCCTTCTCCTCCTCCTATGCCTCCTTCTCCTTCTCCTCCTCCTCCTATGCCTCCATCTCCTTATCATTATTAATATTCCTCATCATTCCCACCAACATGTTCAACATCATCAGATCATCATCATTACCATTAGATCATCGATCATAGTCATCATCATCACCACTATCATCATCATTACCATCAGATCATCGATCATAGTCATCATCATCACCACTATCATCATCATTACCATCAGATCATCGATCATAGTCATCATCATTACCACTATCATCATCATTACCATCAGATCATCGATCATAGTCATCATCATCACCACTATCATCATCATTACCATCAGATCATCGATCATAGTCATCATCATCACCACTATCATCATGTGTCCTCTTAACTTCGTACAGCCTCCTCATCAGTAACATCATCATCCCTTAACATCAGTACCATTAACATCATCATTAACAATGTCATCATTGAATCTAAAGGAATGGCCGAGCAGTTAAGGCAGGGGCGCCACAACGTACAGATATACTATCGGCGCTGGTTCGAACGGAACGCTCTCCTATGGTTCTAGTGGTGGAATAAGTCTTCTCGGATTGGACTGTAAACCGTAGGCCCAGTGTACATAATTCGGTTCATGTTCACTTTAAAGTACCCAGTACATCTTTTGAGACGAGTAGGATGTTACCTCGGTGTACTGTTCCATTCAGCCCCTGCTGTGGACAGATAAGAGTAGCGGGTACTGGTTTACTAGGTAGCTCAGTCACGAAGAGACCCTTAGAGGAGAAGCAAGTTACTGTACGAGCCATCGATGTAAAGCGCTTTATAAATTTATCTGAATACATCACATCATCAGTACCAAATTATCCTTATCATCTTTCTTAGCTCAAACTCATTTTACAACTTTTTATATATTATTTCTAACCATATTCCTAGAGTGTCTAGCACGATACAGGGATAAGCTGACAGCATTTGAGCAGGCTGAGTTACAAGACTATCATGAAGTATGGTTCCTAGGCTTAGATGCTAAGAAAGTAGAGGGTATCCAGGGTGCTTCCAACAACAATGGTTATGATGATGAGAATGGATCATATATAAAGGTAAAACATCTTTCATGCATATAATGTGATAAAAGTACAAGAAAAAAAACCCTGTTTTTTATGTTGAATCAGCTGTTTCCCAAATATGGGATGATAATGATGTTAGCTGTATCAATATTTGCCCAGCAACAGGAAATTTTATGCATTTACTTGTGGAATCATCAATCCATACAACATTTTGATATATTGAATTGCCCCTGCTTGCCCTTTATCATCGCTTATCTGATCGCTCAAATGATTCCAAAGGTCAAGGGAACATCTTCAAAGAAGAATGTTACGGAAACAAAAAAGGAAGACAAATATCAATAATTGAGACATTAAACAATTATAGAAAAATTTAAAGAAAAACTCACATATGACACTTTTAATTACATTAGACAAAGATTAGAAATTTCTCAGCAACCCACGCTAACATGTAACTAAAAAGGGCAGCAAGTGTTCAAAAAGTGAAACTATTGGTACAAGACATGAAGAAAATGGGAATTTCTTGCAAGAGGGTTTTCCAGGGCAGCTCAGACAGAGAAATACACAGATGCAGAAAAGTCAACAAAAATGTGGCAAACATAACAGAATCTTATACTTTTTTAGCAAATTTTCTTCTCTATAGGCACATTGTAATTTTGTGTGCTTCTCTAGCTGTGGTTAAATGTCAGGGTTGGAATCCCACTATCCTATCCATTTCAATTGTCCTTGCGCACTCACATTGAATGTATTGCTGCATCGTCATTTTTGAATATTCTCCCCCTCCCAATAATGATCCCAATGACCAGGGCAGGGGCATATCCAGAGATGTCCTAAAGTGGGCCAATCGAGAAAAAAACATCACCCTGGGCATGCCCCCAGCGCAAAATGTTTGTTTTTTAAGCTAAAAAATAACCTCTGAGGCATTTTGGGTATGATCAATTATTTCTTTTTCTTTCTTTCTTTTTCCTTTTTTTTGAAACTTTCCAGACCCCTCTAAATCCATCCCTGATGGGTAATAATTTTTTTGGTGGGGGGAGGGTGGGGTGGAATGGTGAAGAGAAAAATATGGGATAAATTCATGTACAGTAACAAATTTTTGATAAATTAATGTAAATAGACGAATCCCATGGGCCCAACCCTGCTTAATTTCTCATTAGATCCGAGCACATAAATAACTAAGCAACAAAGATGAACAGAAAATATGTCAATCATTTTCGATTGCAGGATTCTGTAGATTTTCATTTCAAGACTTGTTATATCCATAAATGCTAATTTCTGAGCTCTATTATTCAGCTTTGTAAAGGAGGAAACACTACATGAACCAGACATAGGACTTTACATTGTGACAAATGGAGTTTAATTAGGGACTGATCCACCTGGCTCGCAGTAGAGCTTTAGCTTGGTGGTTAAGATGATTGTTTTCCAGTCCCTGGGTTCAATCACTGTCACTGCAAGATTTTTTTTTTTCATGACTGAAAATATTTCCACTCCCTAAGCCTCATAAAGAGCATTTTCAACCGGTGAGTGTACTTGCTGTTAGATGTGCAAAAAAATGTTTAAAGTAAAATTGAAAGAAAAAGGGAAAAAAATTCTTTCACAATTATTTACTATACTGGCATTGCTCTTTTTATTCATATTGTAATCAGGCCTTAATTTGGTATTTTATAGATTGTACTCTTACATGTCACTTACATGTCAGTATACAGTTTCTAATATATTGTCATATATCATCAATAGTGTAAATAGTGTCGAGTCTCAATTGTATTGTCATTGGCAATAGTGCCCAGGCAATAGTGTATATGGTTTTTTTTTATGAGGATAAAAGTAAATGTGCATTTTTTATGTAATTTGATATTTTTCATCCCGAGGCGTTTCCCTTAGTTTGGAACTTGAGTCTGTGGATCCCTTCCTTTTTCATATGTTTACTTGTGCTTGATATTCTGTTTTGTGATGTTTTTGATGAGACACAATAAAATGGTTAAAAAAAACATGAAAAAATGAATAAGTGGGTAATAAACCTATAAATAACAGGATGGACTACAAATTAATTAGCTTTCTGCACTACTAATTATGCATATACCAAAACATGTTGCCTAACCTATACAAAAGGCCTGCTTAAGTGCAATAATATGATAATAATATTTAATGTATTTTAAATTACAAGTTAAAATATTTTATTTGTATATTGATTTTTTTTTTATCATTTCAACAGGTACTACATGATCACCTGGTATATAGGTATGAAGTTCTTGAGGTGATTGGTAAAGGGTCATTTGGCCAAGTGGTAAAGGCTTTAGACTACAAAACTGGCCAAGTCATAGCTGTCAAGATAATACGCAACAAGAAGAGGTTAGTTTCTAAATGGTTTTTTTTTTATCTTCTATCATTGTTAAAACAGGTTCATAATTTTAAATTCTGGATAATCGCATGGCGCAACATTTGCGGGATGTTTCTGAATTGCTGCTCCTGTCCAAATCAAATCAAATAATGAAAATTAATTAGGATCTTAAATCCATTTTTTTTTTCTTTTTTTCTTTTTTTTTTGCCAGTGGTTGTAAAGTTTTTGGTGCTATTTTATACGTGGTAGTTTGATATCAAAGGTGTTATGTGTTGTGTATATTTTGGTAAATTTTCAGTTGGTCTTGCATTATTTGAGAATTTGGCTGTTGTTGTTCAGTGGAGGCTTGGTAACAGTGCTTAGTTTGCCTTTATATTTTTTGGTGGTGCTGTATGTCATAATATTACTTATACGTGGTAGTTTGATATCAAAGGTGTTATGTGTTGTGTATATTTTGGTAAATTTTCAGTTGGTCTTGCATTATTTGAGAATTTGGCTGTTGTTGTTCAGTGGAAGCTTGGTAACAGTGCTTAGTTTGCCTTTATATTTTTTGGTGGTGCTGTATGTCATAATATTATTTTATTTAATATTTTTTGAGAAATGGATCTTGAGATAAGACCAGAAAATTTTTGTTGGCTATGAATGTTGGTATTTGTAAGTCAGGGTCAGTCAACCAGCAATTTACTTTTTACTAGGCTACTATTTATACTAATTCATTGGTTCGTACTCAGACTCATCCCACACATTATATTTGGTGGAATGTTAACAACAGGGCTAAATCCTATGGATAATGTAACTCATTTATCATTTAATGTTTGAAAAGAGGCCTTTTACTCAATAAAAAACATTCTTGGGCTCCTTTGTAAAAAAAAAATTAAATATAAAAAAAAAAGCCTGGAGTAGATTTTTTTTTGGTTTTGGGTAAGTTGGACTTGGACAACACAATTTTTTTAGCCTGATGATGGGACAGGCCATAATATAATGCAAATTTGAGGTGTGGTCTTACGAGTTTGAAGCAGGATTTTTGTTTGTTAACAATATAATCTTCTACTGTGGAAGTTTCTGTGGATAAAACCTAACATTTTGTTGCTTTTATTGGTAATCTTGTTGATGTGGCTGACACATGAAAGATCTGATAAGTGTTCAATGCAGAGGTAAGGGCGATGTTGTATTATTGATTTTTACCATGCATGTTGTCGTACAGTATTAGTTTCTTGTTTAATATACATGGTATGCATTTCAAAATATTGAACTTCATATGCCAAGTTTCCACCCACATGCCTGCTTGTTGTATTGGTGGGTGATGAAGTTGTTAATGGAAAATAATCAGATATTTGATTTCAATTATATTTGCTTGTCAATGTCAGTACAAGATAATGCAGAACTCTTCCTTGAGGCACATTAGATCTTACAAATCTGCTATACAAATACACAGCCATTTACCATTACCATTACATATGCCATGTTTCAAGACTCACTATCTCAAACTACTGTAGCCTTTGAGTTCTGATCATTAATGCCACATTTCTTGAGCTTCAGAGAAAAATTTAAAGTCGTACAGTGTCAAAGTCTAATTAAAATCTAATTATTACTCAACATAACTTTGACGCAAGACCGGAATAGCTTCTTACGCAGTATCAATTGTTTCTGGTGGTGGTGTTAATAAGTTGGTAATGTAATTTCTGTGTGCTGTTTTCAGGGTTCTCTATTTTTTGCTTCTAAGATTGTAATTAATTTTCAGTCATTTTTATTGTCTTTTTTACATTGTTACTTAATTGTTTTCATCTTGTCTATTGCAATGCTGTTAAGCTAGTAGATTATGTTTGCCTCACACAGTTTTTTTGTATGTAATTCCAATAAAAATATTTCAATTCATTTTAAAGACATTTATTCAACCAATGTGAAGTAGGTTAAAGATTTTCCACACAAATAAAATAAACGAGCGGTATTGGATAAAGACAACTTGATTTCTTGCTTCTAACAATGTATCCATTCGTAGAAGTCTTATGAATATAAGCCTATCCAAGTGAACATGAAAGGGTCGGGGACCAGGACATACCTTCGACTTTAAATTGACAAAGTTAGAAAAATATTAAAAACAGACACAATGTGTACATAAATAAGCCTTAAAACATAAAAAAAGTAAAATAAGCTTAATAAATGTATGGTGTTTAGTAATCTGTTATTTATGAATAAAAGTAACGTAAAATATAATGAATAAAGGAAGAATAGGAAAGAAACTCGGAGCTGCTGAAATATTTACAGAAAATAAAGGATAATAATTATTTTGTCATTATTGCTTCATGTTTTTGCAGCAATTTTGGACACTTATCATCAGAAGTCAAGGGGTCAAGCCTACACGTTTCATAATTCAACATCAGAAATCTAGACCTTACATGATTTCCAAGATTTCTTTATATGAAGAGGGTATAGTTTATGATAGACAACATTATTGAGGGATATTTTTGTCAGTTTTGATTAATCTATTTAAAAGTCTTATTGATTGCACTATGGCATAAGATGTTCAGCATTTCTGATGAAGATGAGATATTTCAATTTTTGAGACCTTTTAAATTTTCATTTTTGAAAATGTACATATTTCTTGGTATATTTTGTCATATGTAATTTATTTATTTATTTTTTATTTAATCTTTCTTTATACTGTAGGCACTTTCAGTAGTATATTACTGGTTTTCAAAGTGGTATAGTGACGAGAAACATATATATGCAGTAGTAATAAACAATAAATAAGATTTTAAAAAAAAAATAAATAAATATATAAGTAAATAAAATTAAAAAAACAAGATTCAGGTTTGATGTGTACTTTAGATTTTGGTCCAAGTTGTATTAAGTTTGATTTTCTCAATGGTTTCGAAAGAATGAGTCGGTGCTACCAAAAACTCTTAGATTTTTGTGTTTTTTTGTTTGTTATGTAGACTTTGGATCACAAATAGCAATTTAATCGCAGTTTTATAGTTAACATAATTTGCAATGCTTTTCAAAACACAAAACATATTTATATTATGCCCAACATAATCTTAATTAGAGAGTTGAGTTTGTTTGGATGTGGTTGGATTTATTCGGTGTAAACACCAAGGATAAAGATCCTGTAACATGACAGGAATAGTGGGTTGAAATTAAAGCATCTTTATTCTAAGCTATATTATTACATATTTTATTGTTATAGCTGTTCCCATTCAATGCTATAGTACCAAACATTGTGATTATGAATGTAGTGCAGCAAAATTAATTAGCACCAATGATTATGTAGCACCAATGAATGAAAGCAAAAGTGGCATGTATATTCCTGTATTATAGGTTTCATCATCAAGCTCTGATTGAAGTAAAAATTCTTGATGCACTAAGAAGAAAAGACAAAGACAACTCACACAATGTTATCCACATGTCGGATTATTTCTACTTTAGGAACCACCTGTGTATAACCTTCGAACTATTGGGGTGAGTAATTCTTTTCTCCCTTTCATTTACTTTTTCATTTTGTTGATTCTCGTTTCCCTCCTAAATTTTCGAACTGGGGCTCTTACCCCTAAAAGTTGACTTGTAATTAGAGATGTGTTTGTGCCTCGTTGGAAATTTGGCTCTACTTATCACACGATCTTTCTAAACAAGTAACTTAATATATTTTATAGAATTTTTAAAGGTTTTACTGATTATAATACTGATGGCATATCTTCAAGACTAGTTAAATTTACATCACAGCATACACATTTAATTCCTTGCATGCAGTGATTGTCTTCAGATGCAAGTCTTAAATTAGACACACAAGGGGTAACACATGTGCCAGTCACTTCCCATCTGTAGGTTAATTGATGGTTTATTGTTGAAATATATTCAGTATGACTGCTGATCATGTTTAACTTTGGACACCTGTTTATATTTTGACACATTAAAAGTCATACAAATGCACAAAATCGAGTTTGACAAATGTTACCATTAATATGTACAATAATAATTACAAATATTTCAAATCACTACTAAATGAGATGCCATCATCAATTAATTTATTAATGTAAATTAATCGTTTTTAACAATATTGAGGCCTTTATCATCTCCCTTAAAAAACGTCCTCATTTACTTAATGTAGGACGTTTATTTTGACATTTCTTACAAAAGCTACTATGGTGACAACAATTTCCAGATGTTATATTGATGAAAAACATTTGAAGTTGTTTGTTGAAAGCATTAGCTGTTCGGAGCTTGACATGCATTGATTTGTGCGTGTCAGAAATACATTGTTAAATGAACACGGCCGTCAATACACGTCTCAGAAGCTCTCTGATTTACAACAATTAAATGTGTTTAAAAAAATCAAATCAATTCCGGTTAATTTGTCCTAGCAAGTTAGGTAGACTCACATCTAGTGATTTGTCACGTAGTTTAATTTAATGTATTATGTGTTTGTGAGTGTGCTAAGTTTAATGAATAATAATATGTGTTTGTCACCTGATTTCCCACAAAAAACAATACCAATGGCCTTAATTATGGAAAAAACACTCATATTTTGGTCATAGCTATTTAAATATAGGCCTACATTTTATTGAACTAGACCAAGTAGACCTAACTAATGGCTAAAGTTATGAAATTTGATCTACCATTTTATACTATAGAGCATGGCTCATGTAATTGGTCTCCACACCGCTCTTGAATATGTATTATTTATCTTACATTTGGTGAAATAAATACTTAATTATTTAGTAGGTAGCAGATAAAGTGTCTTGCCTATTAGGATAAGCAGTGTGACTGGCGTCGGTCTCAAACTTAAAATTTCTTTATTCAATGCCCAAAGCCTTATCACTTTAAATAATCACAGATTGGAAATTTGAGGATGTTAATAACATTTTTAACAGGCATAAATGGATGATTACAGGCTCACAAAAATTACAAACAGTTAAGAAGGTTGTAGATTCTTGAATGGCCACATGATTTTAATAGATATGCTCATTCATTTAGAATGCATAACAAGCAGAGCATTATAGATAGTAGCTTTGATTTGTATAACCATAACACCTGTTAGCAGCATTTCCAGGTGTGTTCATATACAATATACATTTTGTAAGCATCAGTTCAGTTTTGTTAACTATAATTTTTTTGGAATAATTGATAATTATCCTTGAATAAATCATGAATATCTAGTAAATTTGTATTAATGAATTATGCACACAAGAAAAATTGTAATGACAAAACCTAAAATAAGTTCAAGGCAGTTATAAATCAGGGAGAAACATTAACATGAGATGAGCCAATTTTTGTTAAGGTTCCTATTAGATAACTAACATTTTTAAAATTTGTAGGATATATAGACCTTGTTATGCAAAAACAAAATCACAACCTTTCACTTTCGTTTTTTTCTGCTGTCCCCATTCTTTGTTGATTTATGTTGTTTTACATAAATAGTATTTTGTTTTAAAATCAAAACTTAACTTGCAACAAAGTTATTATTTCAAGTAAAGTTTTCTCCCCCTTCAGTTATCCCCAATTTTGTCTTTGGGATACTCTATTTAGATCAGATTTTATTTTCTCTATGTTACCAGCATAACCACTTGATCTGAAAAGCTGGCGGCCATTTAAAAAACACAAGAAACTAATTATTAGTTGATTTGGCTTGACAATTTTTATCTTTTGTTTCCCTTTTAGAATGAATCTTTATGAATTGATTAAAAAGAACAACTTTCAAGGTTTTAGTATCGCATTGATAAGAAGATTTGCAACAGCGTTGTTACAATGCTTGAGAATGCTGCAGCGAGAACGTATTATTCACTGCGACCTTAAGCCTGAGAATATACTCTTAAGACAGAAAGGTCAGAGTTCAATTAAGGTTATTGATTTTGGTTCAAGTTGTTACGAGCATCAAAGAGGTAAGTCAACAAATAATTTTTTTCTAATTAAAATAATTATTTTTCAATGAAAAGCCTCGCGTGTTGAGTTATATCAGCATTGTGGCGATAATATCGCTAGATTTACATTACAGACATCGGAACGTAATCATTATTACACACGTCAAAGAGGTGTGGTAACAAACATCAAAACATGATCATTATTACGCATGTCAAAGAGGTGTGCCAACAAAAAGAATTATATTGTATACGTAGTTTAGAATGTATTAATTGCATAGAAAAACCCACCATTGATAGAATGGATGCTATTATTAGTTTGAGATATTATGCATATTAATCGTTATTGACCAGACTTCCATAAGACATTAATTAACGTCTTACTTTGGTCTATGCATCGTGTTGGTAAATACCGTGTATCGTAAATATTTCATGAATATTAATGTTGAGAAACAAATCCTGACATTTTGAGAAGTCTGAGAAAGTCAAGACTTTTCCTGTATAATTTTTTATTTTTTATTTAACTTAATGTTAATTAATAACTTTTACAATAGTAATATTGATTTTTTTATAGCCCCATTCCCGGCAAGATTTTAGTTGTTAAGAAAAACTGATTTTTATATATGTTATAAAGATTTATAATTGTAATGTGAAATTCCTAATTTAACTGAATTTAGACATTCCTAAACATGAAAAAAATGTAAAATAAGACTGAAATTTGATTTTTTTTGTGTTCCACACAAAAAATAAATACGGATGGATTTTTCGTGTTTGATTTTGCGATAGGTCTGCGAAGAAATATAGTAGGCGCTGAAAACATTAGCCTATCCAACACTGCTAGGCTAGGCCTAGCCTTACCTTGATTTAGGTTCTGTTATCACACCTAAAAACGGCCAAAATGATATTTTCCGTTGCTATTATTGACACTTGTGAAATATAATATTTCATAGGAATTATTTCAAATCTGTTAAAAAAAATTATTCTGACCGAGATTTTGACAATAATTAAACAAACATATCTCAGGCCTACTCAATCGATCGCAGTGTGCGAGATGCGAAGTACAAAAACCAATTTCATTAGAGAGGGCGCACACTTTATTGACAGTATAAATTATACATAAAAGCGAGAGCATTCCAGCGGATGCGATCACTAACCTCTGAATTTGCCTAGTAACAAAGAATTTGAGAAAATGGTAATTGCCTATGAGAAATAGTCTGTATTTCTCATTTTTTTATTCTTTTGCGTAAAACTAAAATTTATGCAAATATTTTTCCATTGTTTATAATAAATAGAGTAATGTATATGAATTTTTCTAATCAAAATTCTTTTTAGTGAAATTTTGCCAGCAATGGGGCTTTAATCATTTTCATTATCATCATCTGCATTGTCATCATCATGTTACAGGTATATCCAATTGAAAGTGGGTGCTCAGCGCTGTCATTGTTGGGGACCTTCTTTGGGTCCTCCGAGTGCAAATCACTTCCATTTTCAGTGATGCAAAGAATTTACAATAGAATAATACGATGAAAATAAAATACGGTATATCCTATCATTCCAATATTTACATTTAGCAGATGATACATGAGATTCCCCCACAATACTGTAGGTCCGTACCCCAGCTAAGGCATCTGAAGAGGGATAATATTCACTGTAAATGGATAGGTCTATACTCATAAAGAATTGAATGGGAGGCGGATTCGTGGGGTTGTTAAATGATAATGAATTTTTCTTATTTGTCTTTTTTTAATTCGGAATTTTGACTTGGCCCCTGGGAACACATGGTAACCACAGTGTAGTACCAGTATCCACATGTATACACTATGCCTTATACTGCTTAAGTCCCATGTGAGGCTTGTTACCGTATGTATACACTATGCCTTATACTGCTTAAGTCCCATGTGAGGCTTGTTACCGTATGTATACACTATGCCTTATACTGCTTAAGTCCCATGTGAGGCTTGTTACCGTATTCCAAGAGTCAAACGATCAGACTCCTATTAAAACCAGTGGGTTGCACTGATTGAACTGCAAGGACCAGGAATCTCGGCCAAAATCCCAGCTAGAGTATATGTATGTATTTTATAAACTGTCATGTACTATATGGTGCCAATATTCTCTCAGTAATAAAAATGGTACTTTAAGTTGATTAACTTTCCCATGAAAATCCAGCAAGTTGGCAACAGTGTGTATATTTTGATTTAAAATAAAAACAAAATATGCATGTCCTACATTTCAGTGTACACCTACATCCAGTCTAGATTTTACCGGTCTCCAGAGGTGATTCTCGGCTTGACGTATGGTTTACCCATTGATATGTGGAGCCTTGGGTGTATTTTGGCTGAGCTGTATACTGGATACCCTCTGTTCCCAGGTGAAAATGAAGTTGAACAGTTGGCTTGTATTATGGAGGTAGGAGCTATTTTTATTTAAAATTTGACATTTTTAGACTTCCTGAAATAATAATTAAATTGTTTTTATAAATTAAGTGTTTTGTGTATGATTGTAAATTTAAATAAATAGGGCCTAGTTTTGTTTTGTTTATTAATTCGTAACAGTTTTTATTTGTAATCTGTAATTAAAATGTTAATAATGACTAAGAGTTATGCTTTATTTATTATTATAATAGTTAATATACTAGTATTTTTATTACTATCCTATACTATTGATCAAATTGGGGAAAAAATAGACGTTAAACTGACCTCCCAGTGAAATGGCAATATCATAATTAATGATGTTAATTAATTGGGCTAATATATCTAATACATGATAATTAATAATAAGCTATTTTTAAGGGTCTTTTTTATGATATACGCTGTGAATACTTCGCTGCGAAAAGGCATGTGGATTACCACTGGAAAACAAATAGGTCCTAAGCTAGAAGAAGTTTGTTATTGGGAAGCTGGTTCCAATAAAAAAGTATACATCATTAGCCTGACTTGCTGTAGATGTACTTTTTGATAAGTGTGAAAAAAAACAAAAAACAAAAAAAAACAAATACCAGTTGAAGAAATACAGATGCTCAATCTATTTTTTTAAATAAATAAATACTAAGCCTATAATATGATACTATATTGTATAGAATCTAAAACACCCACTGGGTGAAAGAGTCTCGTGAATAAAATAAAGATTATTATCATTTATCGTAAGCACATCGACCAGTTGATGATGATATGGTATTGAAATTAAATATAAAAAATAGTTTAGCTAACTGTTTAACAACAAGAAGTGGTAACATTAATAATTTTGAGACTCATTTTCTTTGTGACTCATTTGTCTGCTGTGAACAGACGACATTTCATTTATTTTGCCAATTTAAAAAAAAAACATACAAAAGGGCAAAAAAGATAAAGACAAATCTCTTGATGGTGGCAGGATAAACAAAAAGCAAACTTAATTGCTGTAGACAGTTTTTTCCTCCGACAACGGAATAATAGCAACATTCAAAACATTAAATATAAATATATAATAAATATATAAAAATGTATTATAAAATATAAAAGCAAGGAAAATACAAAGGGGAAAAATCGAAATCACATCAAAAAGAAAAGAAAAAATTGCAACAAACTAGACAGTTAGCTGGTACTGGTTTACCGGGTAGCTAATTAATTAATCAATCAATCAATCAATCTTTCTTTATTGCAACTTCAAGTTGAATTTACATATTCTTCAATAGTATAAAATATATTAAACAAAAAGGAACCATACAAACATCTTGAATAAAACTCCTAAGATAAATACAAGATACAGCGGAGAAAAGAACCATTATAACAAATGTAAGTTAATTACTAAATTAATTGTAAAACTATAATTAGAAATAACTACCATATAACCATCACTCATTTTAAGTTAATTATTTAATTTATTGCACAATTATGACTAAAATAGAAAAAAAAAACACAAAGAAGAAATAGTCAGACATTATGGATCAATTACAAAAATTAAAAACAAAATACAAGAGTAAAAAGACACTTACAACTATTAATTAGTTAAATTAAGTTAATTATTAATAATTTAAGGTAAAACAAAACTTAACACAGTAAAAGGTTCAGCAATACATGTTTAAAATATTAAGATAAAAGGAAATTTATCATCTACCAGGCCCAGCTGTAGTGAAACTAACAGGAATCTACCTGGGGCCTTCTATGGGGAGGTCAATGCTAGGGCCCATCGGACCTCCAGTGATGACCGCTGTGATGGTATACAAGGACCACCGACTGGATCACCATTCATAAGATAATCCATGATCTATAATTAATTGTTTAGATCTATTGGTATGTATGTGTGGTATGGAAAATTCTTTATTGTATCTAAGGTTGTATTTGTGTTCTATTGGTGGTGGGAGAAGGTGGTTCAGTCGGTGCTCATTGGATTTAAGTTTAGAAAAATACCTCCTACTCATCTCCAGCAGTCTGTCCTGAAGGCTAGGCAGGTCCAGAGCGATTTGTGTGTCTCCATAGGAGACTCCCGGTAATATGCAGCCCAGAGCTCGTTTTTGTATTTTTTCGAGAGCATCTTTTTGAATCTAAGTTAAACCAGTATACCAGAGAGGGCAGGCATACTCAACTACAGATCTTATGATAGCACAAAAGAAATATCTTAGGGCATGTAATTCTAACCCAGCCCTACTGAGTTGCTTTAAGAAGTAATTTCTTGTATTACATTTCTTACAAATGTATTCAATATGACTTTGCCATGATAAATTATCTTTGATAATGACACCCAGAAGTTTGGTTTGGTTAACCTTTTCAATTTCAACTTTGTTGATAATAAGAGCTGGAAGTTTACTTTTAAAACGTTTGCAGCTTAACAACATTTCTACTGTTTTCTTTTCATTAATAACCATGCTATTAATGCAAGACCATTTATATGTCATTACACGCAATTTGCATATTGCTGCAATTACGAGAGGAAATAGTTTCGGAAACTGTTGTGTCATCCATACATTTGACTAAAGGCAATTTTGTCTTAACTTCTTAAGACTGTTTATGAATATCAAAAACAGAACTGGTCCTAGCCAAAACCCTTGTGGGATGCCGCCGTTGGGAGATAGCCAGGATGATAGGTGCTTCCCTATTCTAACTTGATGTAGATGATTGCTTAAAAATGATTTCATCCAGTTTACAACAATTTCATTAACATTTAGATCTCTAAGTTTCTGTATTGTAAGGTTATTATCAATCAGGTCAAATCTAATAGAAGCACCCTGACCTCCTTTCCTTTGTCAGTGTCATTAAACCACTGGATCATAGTAGTTATAAGTGCATCAACAGTAGATAGACCTTTACAACAGCCAAATTGATTGGGATCGATCTGGTCTTCTACGCAATTTAATAATAATTTCCCAATTAAACTTTCAACAATCTTGCCACATAGTGAGGTAAGTGATATAGGCCTTAAATCTGTTTCTACACATGTAGGGGGGATTTTTTTGGGGATGGGTATAAAGACTGCACTTCTCCAAGCAGATGGAACATAGCCTTCTCTTAAAGATGAGTTGGCTATGGCACATAAATGGGTGGGGGGGAGATAATCTCTAAAACATGAAGCGACCCTTAAGGGAGAAGCAAGGTATTGTACAAGCTAGTCCACACTTGGAAGCTTCGGTATAAAGCACTATCTAACTACATAACAGCACACCCACTTCCACTCTTAAGATAGGCTTTTTTTTAATAGCAAAATTTATTTATTAATAGTCAAAGAAAATCAATGTACAGTTTATAAAGAAATTCTGCCTTCAGCAGTGTCAATGCAGTACAATCAACAGTAAGATATAGATATCATTTAATATACTTTGTAGACATTGATAGATTGTTTTATAATGAAATGATTGAATATTTGTAGCTTTAACAAAAATAACTACAAAACTTGATCAATATGTTTTGTACAATAGTTAGATGAAAATTCTCTTGAAATTATAAATGTACTTTCTGTGATTAAATCTTGGCCTAAAACTGCATACATTTGATTTCGGTGGCGCTGCCCTGTGGCTGCCATAGATCCCCAGGTGCCAGCCCAAATTTTCGGATTTCCAATTAAAATGAGGGCAGATAAGGATTTATTATTATTTTTCAATATCTTTTTAAAAAGAATCAAGGTTATCAACTTACGGTGAGAGGTCAAACCAATTCAGTTTTAAAGCTGAATTACAGATTTTTTTAACTACCGTACTAAAAAAAATTGGAACTTCTTTGTTGAGCAATGTTGACAAAATAAATTTACAATTAGAAGAAAATTAATAATTGAAATTGAATTTGTTGTTTGTACGTTTTTTAGATCCTTGGTCTCCCACCAAGTCATCTAACAGCAGAAGCACACCGGAAAAGATTGTTCTTTGGTAGGTTTCATATATTTGTTTTCCCTCAGATTCAGATGTCAGAACCTGGGGACCTCCCCAGGACCCCCACCACTTGTTTCCCACATCCCTGAATCATTAATTTGCTTTAAAAAAATAATGTTATTAACTTTTAACTAAATTTGTTGACGTTATAGCATGCGTTGTATTTAACTTGATATATTAGCTGCAGGGGTTAAGACTCTTTATATATACTCTGCACCTGCACTTACACAATTTTACAAATGTCTAGCAAATAGCTAATATAGGTTAAGCTAACTAATTTAATAGCACACAGAAAAGTACTTCATTAAATTTAAGTTAGTGAGAACTACAAGAATTAGAACACAATTAAAAAAGAAATATGTGATTCTTATTTCTCTGCCTCGGCCTCAATTTATTTTCCCAAGCCCAAATGCATTCAGAAAATCCTGCAAAATTGCAAGCATCATTTTAATTAAATTCAATGTCAATATATTCAGCAACTAACTGAGGCTGTACCTTGTGGTTAAGATGCTTGCCATTCTATTCCATATGATGCAATTTTTGTAAAATCAATACTTTTTTTTGGTTCAAATTTACATTTTTTTGTAATTTGATGTAGGCAATAATTCTTAATTTGATTGTACATAAGTTTGTTGCAATTAATTTACTGTACAGTATTTTGATAGATAAGTATATTTTATTAATGATGTATATTTTTGTAGCAATCAAATATTAGTAATATTTAAATCTTAATGATAATTGTACATAAATTATTTGCTTACCTGTAATTACATTTTTGGTATGTTTTCTTGTATAACTAATGTATTATAATTCACTTTTTCAATATCTATTAGATGCCAATGTTTTAGTTTAGGTGCTAATTTACAATTACTTTGATGTATTTTCTTCTGCTTAAATTGTGAATTCAGATCCTTTTCAACCTTTTTATGTTGCTTCTGAGTGTTTTATACCAATAAATAAAATAAATAAATAAATAAAATATAAAATAAAATATGATACTAAAAGAAACTACACTCCTTAAACCCCACATTGAATTTAGTTTTTTAGAGCATCACTGAGTCTATATAGCCGGGGTCACACGAATATGGGTCAGAGGGCTGATGTGAATTTAACACTGAGTACACACCCAAACTATGACATTTCCTGTGTGGATACAAAACTTTATGCACTCGTTATTAATATTAATTTTTACCAATGGGATTTTCTAGCCAAAATAGTTATTTAAAGTATTATTTGTCTTCCTCAGATTCTAAAGGTAATCCAAGATGTATAACAAACAGCAAAGGGAAGAAACGCCGACCTAACTCTAAGGATCTTACCTATGCCATCAAGACAACAGATACTCACTTCTTGGACTTTATACGTAAATGCCTTATGTAAGATTCATTGTTCACTATCATTCAGGATATTCATAAAATGTTTTAGGATCAAGGCCAGGAATTTGCTAATAATAGCAAATTTAAATACTTTACTATATCAAAAGGTACATTGAGATAATTGATTTAGAGAAGATTGATTTAGTTTAAAACACTTTACCAATATACTCTTACAACGTTTATGCATGTTTTAATGGATGATGATGATATTAAATTTGGTTACAATGTTTTAAAATATATATGTATAATATATATATGCAAGCAAATTGAATTTATTTGAACACTCATAACATTTTACGAATAAAGAAAAGTATACTATTCTACTTAATTGTAAAAAAATTGCATGAGACACAGGTTACACAATTAATGAAGAAATGATACAGGTGATAAAAAGTGGTAAAGTAGTAGTTGCCCCTACATTTGTACTTAATCAAAATTTAATTTTATGTTATAATAAGTTTTACTTATATAGCACATAACGCTTATTTATAATGTAAAAATGGTATCGTCATTTTCAACCCTTGTTTGTGGATTCTTATTTTCTTCAGATGGGATCCGGAGAAGAGAATGACACCTGACCAGGCCATGAAACACGAATGGATTCTGGAAGGGCGTACCCACCGCAAGACCAAACCAGCCTCTCAGCCATTCTCAAAAACTAACTCGGGCTCCGTCCTAACCTCATTACGTAAGTATAACTACTATATTGCATTTTGCAATTTGTGTTTTCAAGTAAGGTCGGAAATTCAATTCCCTGTTCTGCTATCAACCAATGTGCACTGTGGCATGACTAGCAGTGGCTCTAGAATATACATTCAGGTGGGGGGTGGGGAGTGCTGTTCGACCGGGTGGTCTGACAATTTCTTGCAGAGGCCACTACTGGATCAAGAGTTGATGCCTTCTGGTGCCTAGAGAATCTGTGTTTTGTGCCACTTTAAATGTAGCATAAAACATTATGCCCTAAAAATCAAAAACAATGTTTGTATTTGTCTGACAAGTGTTGTTGCCGATAGGCCAGGGCATGTGGCTTCAACTCCAACTGCAGTCAACTATAGAATATTACTCTATGGTTTTTATTCAGTTTTTATTCAGTATTGTATTCAGTATAATTGCTTATTATTGCCCTATTATATTTGTTTGTTTTTGTTTCTCAAGTTTTGTACATTTTCCCTTTTGTATTTTTGATGTTGTAATGTGTCCTGCTTTCTTATTTCACTAATTTAACTTTAGTATTTTAAATATTTTGAACATTTTTCAATATTATTGCATTGAATTATTCTGTACATTTCAAATTTTTCTTAAATTTGCAAGATTAGAATTTGAAGAAAGAAAAATGGTTATTACCCTATCATTCCATTTCACTGCACATAATTTCCTGTTACATATCGGTAGTCATTATTTAAATTCATGTGTTGTGCATAATATGCCTTCTGCCAATGTGTTTTCTTATCATACTAATTTGAGTAAGAACAAAATGTTTGTGCTGATTTACCGTCCAGACACGTGCACAGCTCTGGAAGAAATATATCATAGTACCATTCTTTTAAATGTCTTACCATTATTGGCATATTTGAGTTCCTATTTATGTCCATTAAAATATTATAAAAAATAATTTTACAATAAAACAAATCTACAAAATATTGGATGAGGACTTGTCACACTACAAAAGCAACACATGTAAGAATTTATTATTCAAATTAAGAATTCTTAAGCCCTTTCTGTTGTGATTGATAATTCTGTTCTTCTCTAGTACCACGTATTAAAAATATCTTTTGAAATCCATTCAGATAACATTTATTTCGATAATAATGCCAAACAGATACAATTATAACCGTACAAAAAAAATGACAAAAAATGGGAAAAAAACATTATTATCATTGTTTTCCAATTCTCCATTTGTACCATTTTTTTTTTACTTGCTTGTTTTCATAGCTCAATTTGGTTTATAACTACAGTGCTATATGTAGTAACTTTAACAAAATATTGTTGACATTTGAAAGGTTGTAATAACAGTGATTATTGGTATAATTTAAGAAATTTCTCTATGGAACTCGCATAATGGAAACTATTTAACTAGTAAAGATGCAATGAGAAATAGTTGATGATATTACACAACATGCACATTTTCCAATGTAGATCTTTTAATCTTATAATGATACTTAAAAGGAAAGACTTTCATAATACTTCCTTAAGATTTTGTATAGCCAAAAAATCAAAATTTTGTTGTAAACCATCTGTAGAGCTCAAAATTAGGCCATATTATAAATGAGTGAAATTTATTGTTTAAATGTTATTGTTATGGTTGCACGATTTCTTTTATCTTCAGCAAAAGCAAAGACAGAAATTGACATCAAAATGTACTCTACTAGACAAAAACAGCATACTGAAAAACACAGTGCTAAACACAGTGCAAAGGTCAGGGAGAAAAACAAATCAAACGCCGCAGACGCACCTGACAAGCCTGTCAACAAAGTGAGTAACATTTCATTGTAATGCGCAGTACTTAAATAATATAGTAATAAATAAAATTCTTATTTTACATGAGTCACATATTCTGTGCTTATCATTTTGATTGTGGTGGAGATGGATTTCTTAGTGCAACTTTTTGCACAGGGAATATGCTTCCTGTGCAGGCCATATTTCACTCTGGAAGTGGTGGTGCTAGTAAAAAGTGGTATCTCACTTAATTCTTTCTGGTTTTTTTTTGTTTTTTTTGTGTAGGTAAAACCAATGTTTGTAGATGAAAACAAAAACAATTTGACAAAAATTAGCAACAAAGCCAGCAAGCCAAGCCTGGCGAACAGCAGCAGGCAAGTAGATGACAGTGAAATGCAGTCAGAAGAGAAGGAGAAAACTGATGAGGGCACTGTTAATTCTCAATTTCTACCACCAATCGTCTAGCCAGTTGGCTGTAGTGATAGGTAGCTACTGCAACTTCACTAGGTTCATTCAATAGTACTGTATCTGTCTAAAATTTTACACTAAGGTAAAGGTATGATGATGATGATAATGGTGTAATAGAATAATAAAATAACAATCAACAATAACAACAATAATATTATTGATAATAACAATGTACTAGTTATATCAATAATGACGATATGGTGAGGATGATGAAAATAGTTATTCATGATGATTGTGAGCTAATTGAAAATGATAATAACAATAATGATTATTATATAAAAGCAATCGAACCAGAAGTGAAGTGTTAGCATTCTCTTTTGTTAACAGTAGTATTTAATCTACCATATTCTAATAAAATATTTAAAAAGTTTATTTTTATTATTATGCAAAAATAACCATCCGTCCAAACATATCACATTCTTCATGATTTGGTTTACTAACCATTCACATTCCAGAGTTTTTATACCAAAGGTATATATGCTAGATTATTTATGCATTCAAATAAGAGTCTGTGTAGATATTGTATATAAAATAACATGTACATGAATTAAATTTTATTTCCAAATGCCACTATCCATTATATTTTGGAAGACAAAAGAGTTTTAGAAATTGTTTGTAAAGGTTATATTGAATTGATTGAATTATATAATAATAATATTGGTGGGGATGTTAGGAGTACCACTAGCACAGTAGTGTTTTAAGATTTGCACTTAAGTGCATATTACAGTAATGTAATAAAAGTTTGAGTATACAAGTTGGATCCAACCCATCAGTTTATACAAAGATAACTGTAGTGCTAACTAGACTAGACATCAAAAGCATGTGTATTTTTGCCCCCAAAAAGGGTTAGATACTGGCGCAAGAGCGCCACTGTGCTAGGTGGCTAACACAGTTCCATATGATGTTACTCTGCATTGGTAAATAATCTGATTTTTATTTTAAGTGAATAGCTTAAAAAAACTTTCATGGTTTCCCAGATTTTTTCTGCAGAACCTATCCATGTGTTTTTTTTTTAAATATTCATGTTAGAACATGGAAAAAAAAATAAAGAAATGGAGCCTAGGCTAAAAGACTAACATGGTTACGCTACATGGTTGTATTCATCATATGCATTCCAATTAACTGTTTTGAAGCCAGTGCAAATTAAGTGTTAGTCAACATTAATAATGCGGTGAAGTTTCTTAATGACTAGAGTGTATCTTTTCGGAGTTACTGTCTTTTTGTTTTGTGTGGGATATCTTGTCCATACTATGATACATCAGTGGGGGTGGAGGGGGCTCTAGAAATTTGCAAACAGGTTATTTAATAAGTCCAATAGAGGAGTCAAAGCCAAGGGCCATCTAGGGTCTCCCTTCAGGATATCAGATGAAGATACAGGGGAGAGAAATGCTGATGGATTTACTGTGCAATTGGGCTTTGCTAACTGCCTACTATGCAACTGAATAATTTGGGCGGTATGAATTAATTGAAGTCCAAGACTAATGCATTGCTAATTAACACATTTTATTTTTCAAATAATTTTGAATATTAAGGTAGAATATTTAAGTTTTAATTAATTTAAGGCATATTCTAAATCTTGGTTGCCACAGTACAGTGGTTATATAATTTACTATACAAGTTTATGTTTAAGAATTTATACAATTTGCTGTTGATGACACTTATTTTTATCACATATTATTTTTACACAATTGTGAAGAAGGTTAGTTACTATTACTACATTAATTATAGTGTTTTATTATACATGAAAGAACTCTTCAACAAAAATTGGTGGTTCTAATTTTTATCACTAAATTGATTATTAAGGCCTTAGCATGAGCATGAGTGTCTCTTGTAAAGTTAATGGAGCATAAGAGGTTGAAAAGTTGCATTGTCCACTTCTTCTATTGGATCCTGCTTCCTGTATTTGTTATGACCTGTTGTGTCTCAATTCAATGACATTTTAACAATAAGTATAAATCTCTCCTTTACAGCAGAGTAGGCCTATCATAAAATTAGAATACCTCCCTAAGTTGATCCATTGGTGTAGTCAGGTATAGGGGCCTGGGTAAATGCAATTGAAATGCATGGATGAATCCACCAGGTAAACACCTGAAAGAAGAATTCAAAACAAGCTCCTCCAAACTAAGCTATGAGGCCATGTTTCCTTGTGGATTAGAATGATGATTGATGGCCATTCAATAATTAAAGAATAATACCTTTCTCTAAAATTCATAATATACTTTGTCAACATTGCATTACTTTGAAAATCTGTAGGATTTTTTAATAAAGCCTATTCTTGATTTTTACTGCCGGTAAGGAGAACACTAACATATAACAAAATTTCAATAGGCCTACATGATGTAGAAGGAGTTTGATATTGAAACATGTAGCAGTCCATATTATTTTTAATCAATTTAACAAACCAGTAATTGCTGCTAAATGTTTTTGAGTGCAATGATGCAAAGTCCACTATTCTTAATATTTTATATTTAAAACTATTATTACTATGTTTTGTTTTTTTTTCAAATTCAGTGTATTTTATTTTTATTAACCAAGAAGTGTTATGACCATTTCATCAGCTGAACTATTATAGGAATACAATTTATATGAATGGTGAAGAGCATTTTATCTGGACAAAATAATACTTAATTGCCATATTTTGAAACTTCTTGCAGAAGTACAGCAATATCTAATTGTTAACTGTAGTTATTTTAAGAAATATGTAAAAAAAAGATTTGGTGAAATTTACCCGTGTTGGTATTTTGCCTTTAAGCAGGTGGATAATGGCGCAATTTGTTTTCAGTATTTTAGAATGTACAGTTTGTAATGTGCATGTCTGTAAAGATAACCTAAATATACTATTGTTTTGCTGTGCTCTATGAAAGTAATAGCTAGGTGTTTACTCTACATAATTATATCCATTAATAAATAATCTATTTTGTGTTGACACCATTTAGGATAAGATTAACTGATTAAAATTGAAAAACCTGAAGTTAGACAACTTGTTTTGGTCATTTTGTGTATGCATAGTTACTAAGCTGAGACATTAGTAATGCGTGACTACACCGTTGGCTGGGGGGGGGGTGCCTCCGGGGTCCAGAGGCGGGAGGTCCAGGGGAAGAGGTCCCTTGGTGCTCTGACAATCTGAGCATTTTTAAGCTGTTTTAAATCGATTACAATTTGTGTTTCTATGTAAATTATATTTAGTTTGAGCACCCGATCTATGTACACAAACATTTCATTACTTAAACAAAAAATGATTAGGCATACTGATTATGCTTATTCGCGCGAGTACGGTATTCACATTATGTCTAATGACTCATGACCGTTTTTATATTTTTAATAAAACCAATTTATTCTAATTTTAAATACATTTTCCCCTGAATTCGTGATAATTCGTTATCAGGCATAGACTTGTGGTAAATGCGTGACAAATTTATGATCACACATGCGTTTCTGCAAAATGCGTGTTTCAACCAAAATTACCTTGAAATGCGGGACTGTCCCGCACGATGCAAGACAGTTGGTAACTATGTGTGTGAAACAGAAGGTCTTTAATTGATATACAGTAATGATGGTTCTATAGAGAACACACATGACAAGGTGTGTTCCTGCGACGCGCCCCCCCCCCCCTTAACACAAAAAAAAACATTTTTTTTTTTTAGATAATTGAATGGATACACGATTCCATAAAAAAGGTTGATTCTATGTCACGTTGCGCAATGCATAGCTACAAAGACAGTGGAGATGCACCAGTATGGAAACCTTTGTGCAATCATTCTCTATCGAGGTCAGCAGGTATGTGCTGTCAGACAACCCCATGAACAGTGACCACAGTACACTGATATGTGTGCACATCTCCATTGACAACACCCCTTCAGTAGACTTACTCTTTTAATAAAGTACAGTTTTTGTGTAGACAACATTTGACACTTTTGACGTGTAAGTTTTGCTTCCTTTTTGTTTTCAAGTACAGTACCTGATTTAATCATATTGTGTAATTCAAAAGATATACTAAAATTGTGTAATCCTGTACTGTCTCTAATTAACATGAAACAAAGTAGGCCTGCTAAAACTTAGGGCCTATAGGCCTATTTCCAGTGGCGGATTTAGGAGGGCGTACGCCCCCCCCCCCCCACTTATTTATTTGCAAAGAAAAAATTACACCCACAGTGTTTAAGTCTTCTTTTCCTACCAAAAACACCTTAGGAGAGTGCTATTCATAAATCCACTTGCAGATAAATAGACACTTGTAATTTACTCAATGTTAATATACAGTAGCGGATTTTGTTTTTTGACGACTTTTAACGGATTTTGGACATTAGTTTTCCTTTTTGCTGATTTTGTGATTTTTATGCTCAATGTTGCTGAGAAACTTCATCATAGTTTCTAGAAGTGAAATTTCTCTTTTAAAATGGTGTACATTTATGAGCCTTTGCATGTTGTCAAAGACTATGTTTGAGATGTTCGTGGAAGAGGCACTAAAACCCACAGCTGTGAGTAGATGAATAATTACTAATTTAATAACACATGTCATAGTTGCATATTGCAGGTACCCTGTATTAAAATTTCTTTTAAAAAGACATACTGAAAACTACCATGCTAGTCAAAATCGACTCAATACAACCTCATATTCCTCAAATGTGCTGGGCTTCGCCCCCTTGGACCCCCCTGGGGGCCCTGGGCGCCCCCCGCCCCTGACCCCCAGCCTGAGGCTGCTCGCTTCGCTCGCAAATTGCGCCCCCACCCCCTTTTCTGGCAGGCTGGATCAGCCCCTGCCCTCGGTGCTTCCCACCATTGGCGCCCCCCCTTTTGCTAAATCCTGTATCCGCCCCTGCAAAGTCTCCCGGAACTCGCGGGCGTCTCCCGGAACTCGCGGGCGTCTCCCGGAAATCTGGAAACCTTCCGCACTCCCGCAAGCAAGCAAGAATCTTCTTGAAATAACCCATCTCCCGCAAATTCATAATATTTGCATGTTTTCAATATTTTATTATCAATTGTCTCATGGAAGTCAGTGGCGATGGCTATCACTATGTGCAGTAATAAAATTAAAAGTCATTAACCACTGCAGATCCATCGTTTTATGACACAGTGTATGCCAAGCTATAGTGTTGAGCTATCATAAACTTGACAATGGTCAATGTTCGTGCATTTTTATACCGCCTTCCACAATAAAACCATCCTAAAAGTTTCAACCATTATTCATGTTTGTTTTTTTTTTCTGTTGTTCTGGATGAGCGCTTAGATATCCGCTATTCAAGTGCACAACTATTGACCATGTTAAGCCACTAAAAAACTAAAAAAAAAATGAAATTAAGATGTGAATGCAAAGGGGAGGAGGAAGGTGCACACCCCAAACCTGTGTTCAAATCTGGGGAAAATCCAAGATCAAATTCATTCGTTCAATACATGACATAAAGAGGCATGGGGGGAATTTGCTTCAAGAAGGTTCGGGTTTTCACCCACCCCCAACACTAAAACCTTGCTTAAAAAGGCTACACTCAAGTATAGAAAAATCTCTTCATATCACCTTCATCCCATCTAGCATCGCACCGCATCACCCTCCCACTCTCATGAATATGCCTTGGTATGACACTGGTTACATCATTAGAATGAAATGGTTATAGGCCTAAGAGCTGTAGCTTTTTTTATTACAGTGCTGTACTTTCCAATGTTGTCCTTGTTCTGTAAATGTTTTTCTCCAATTAAATGATTCTTGATTTTGAATATAATTGATCAGAGTATGATGCTGATAAAAATGATTGAAATGTTACCATTTATTGGTCTTGAAGCCTACTTTGTCAAATTTGAAAAGATATATGCTATGAATGAATTAAAATCTGATTGTTATATTAAAATCAGCGATAGAATCATCTTGCACAACAGTAATTCATAGTGTTATAACATCCTGTCAGGAAGGTGTCAACACCAGCAAAGGCTGGGGTTAAAATTTAATATTTTTAATTTTTTTGTGTATAATATATTAATATTAATTATGATAATTTGTAAAGAGCCTGCAGTGAAGCAAAATATATTTTTTTTGTACACTAAAAAAAATATACAAAGACACTGGTGTTTAGTATACTTGCAGTTATTTATTCCACCGAACAATTAAGACGTACATATACAATACTCGCTATGCTCTACTAGAGGTAGCACGTATACCCTTTTGTTACATATTAATAGTAGCGCCTGGTACGCTAATTTATCCTTATGAAACCACACAGCCCAATTACAACACCAGCTCATAGAAACATACACAAATATTGACAGTAACTCCTGGTATATCTACACATTATGCCATGTACTGTACCTGGGTTAAATTTATTTTTAATCATTCAGATATTTATCAAATTGAATAGAATGGATATAAGATGACATGAAGATGAGATAAACTTTGTACGATAACGGTGAAGTCCTCTATTACATAATGCCATAATAACTACCAAGAGTAAATGAGTTGATGAGTACCATATTTCGAATCAAGAATTGTCAATACTTGGTGCTACATATTGCATTTGTTTTTGTCTAAAAGTACATCATTTTGTTGAATTGATAAATAAAAATTTAATTTGATTTCTCATCAGTTATAATTAAAATTAAATTACTTTCTTAAAAAACATCAACGTTGATAAATCACTGTTTATAACCATTGTGGTATGATGCATTTTTACCAAACAGAGTATGCTCACATTACAGATTCTTTTCTCCAGAGCACATGTAAATAAAATATGAATTTTTTTTTCTCATTATCAAAATAACATGAAAACATTAAATCATAAAATCTTTCTTTTTCATTAACTTCAACATCAATAACCATTGAGGGCTTGTAAAAAATATATTGTTAATAATACAATACTTGATAGTAAATCATGGTATTAAATAAATAATAAAAATTACCAAATATTACTTATAGTCACAGCATTATAAGCTGGTGCAACATGGGTATGAAGAGGGTTGAATCAAGTTTAACACTGTGGTGGTGATTCTTAAAATACTTTGGAATATTTGATAAATCAGTATTTAGAAGGGATTGGCATACAAAAATTAAAGAGAAATAAAGATGATAATATTAGATGATTATTTTGGGGCACCAGGACAACACACAAGATAGTCTGAACAACTCGGGAGTCATGAGCCAAGCATACCCGCACAGGACACAATGTGCAGGTAACAAGGCTTTCATTTTGATGCAAATACCATTTATCAAAGCTATGTATCAAGCAATATTGTTAATGCCGCTGAAAGTCATTCCACTTGTCTAAGCCATTCAACACAGTACAATCTTGACTTAATACAGGGTTTTGCTTAATTCCTACTGTATTTTTTACGCAATCCAAAGCACTGTCCAGACAAGGACAACATGTGACATGCCTAAATATGGTCATAATGACATCACATCATGACCATATATAGGCACATCATATCTACATATGGGCATATATTTTCTGCCAAAAAAATCTGATAATCTGGCCAGAGCATTATACTCTGAAGCCCTAAAATAATGCATTATGATATTTTATGAAATGAGCATAACTGGAGATAGCCCCACCCCCTTTCTCCTCCCACTCAGTAAATGACAAAGGCAGTGACGTACTACTGTAAATCAAAAGTTGATAAATATTTTATACAATATCCTGAGTTACTGTCCTTGAAAAGTTTTCTAAAAATTGTCAGTTGTCATATTGCTGCAAACAACCATCAAGATTACTTTGATTTTATGCACTGCTACAAGTTGATAAATTACAGTACTTAGATACTTAACAACATACACAGACGCTAAGCATGCAAACGTTATGTTGTCATATGCTTTTACCATAATTTTATGCATCAACCAACTGATTTAACATATTATACAGTACAGTATATTATTTTTTGTGAGTTTATATTTCCAAGTTTCATATGAATACCAAAAACAAATCGATATTATTACTTCACCATAATGAAAAAAAAACATAAATGGCCTACCATGCACTAGATTCTGAAAGATTTGAGGTGAATTTTGTTGCAGTACAAGTACAAATGGCGCTTTATGATTTCATCCATCAAAAGTAAGTTTAAATCCTAAAACTACTACCAAATACCTGTAGATCTATACTAACCTTAATCTATATTTATAACCCAAAAAATAATTGATAAATTGAAAACGTATAGAAAATACTGGCCTTATAATAAGGGCAAACCAACATCCTTATAATTGAAAAGATACATACTATATCTACAAAACATGATTTGGGCAACTGTGCATCGTGTATTGCTTTTCTTCCTACTGGCATTATATGATACAGTTACAAAATATTGTTTAAATTTAATTTAACTTAAATCTAATCATGATGATATACAGTAACTCATTAGTTATTTATTTATTATAACTAAAATTACATCCATAAAAAACTTTTTTTTTTCAATTGTAAATTATATTTTTATTGAGGGCCAAAATAATCAGCTCCTTCACACAAAATGAATAAGCAAAAGTTCCCTGCCACATCTATATACCCATTACTCCTGTTTAAGTACATGATATTTTTAATTAACTTAAATATCTTCAACAAAATTTTTTTTGTTGGAAACTAGATTTGTTCAAATCACTCAGAACCATCAGCTGCTGAAATTGTTAAGAGACTAAAAAACACTACCCTGAAAATTAAGCTGAAGAAAGCCCATGTTTATGTATAGTTCCATGGTCATTAATGATCCTTTACTGAAAACAAATACTATGTTGTAGTAAAGTTGTCTCTTCAAACCAAAGTTTGAGGTCCACTTGGGAAATAAAAAGAAGGAAGTTAAAGATTGTTTAAATCTCACAGACTTGTTACTGTAAACACAAGACTAAAACAATGTACTGTATAATGTAAATCTTAATCTCTCCATTAATTCCTTGTAAACTTGCCAAAGAAATCTTGATAGGAAATACAATGCATATTCCTCAAACTTTCAGCAAAAAATAGAAAGTTTAGTTTGAATATTGTTCAAAGCATACTATAACAATTACATTGGTTTAGTTGGTTTGTTTTACATAAATATAAACTAATTACTGTATTTTTTTTTTTGATAAATATTTACCTTCTCATCTATCACACACTTCTGATATTTTAAATACATTAAAACTGGTGAATAAAATGCATTTGAAAAACCATTTGGTCACTTTAGGATTTGAATTGTCTTTAAACAACCACATTACTGGAAAATACCACACGTTCACACTTTCAATTTATAGAAGAAGAGTAATGCTATTACAAAATTCTACGATTTAGGGGGAAATTATGAAAATCTATAATCAAGTATATTTGGTTAGAGGCTGAACTTTGAATATAAAACATTAAATATATGAATTTAACATGTCAATCTGCTACAGATAAACAAGGAATAGAATTTTTTTATGTCCAAATATGTTATTACACAGAAATCTACATTTACATAAAAAGGACAATACATGTATAGAAAACAATACTAAGAATAATGTATACTGCGTTTACTGGCCATTCTTGTAAAATCCCAAGATGGAATGCTTTCAAATAATAATCATAATAACATAATAATAATGATAAAATATAATAATACTTTACTACACTAGTAGTACGTAGTATCATAAAAAATAATAGTAATGTGAGTATTATACCACTACAGTAGTTTCAGTTAAAAATATTATCCAATGCCATAAAATATGAGGTTACTTTCACTATTCCTTAAAAATAATTTTTAAAACCTTAATTAAAAACACCCATTGTGTTTATAACCATGTTCAACTAAGTAATCAGCACTAATAAAAGAGGTAGGTAATGGTGTGCCAATGAAATTTGTTTTTACCTGCATTTTAACTCAACAAAATCCATTTCTTTGTTCTGCATTCAAACTTTACAGTGACCAACCAACAACTTACTGTATCGTAATCACTTCTGTTAACGAACTTCGTTCAAGTTTTGAATTTGCAGTGAAATAAATTAATAATTTAAAATAAAATAAAATGTTAAACATAATATGACTGAAAACACTTTTGAAAAAAACATCCTATTTTTATGTTTTGGTTTTCGCTTGGATTTTTTTTTTATACACTGGTAGAAATACATTCCTAAACATTCAAACTATTTCCAACCTCCATAATTTGGAAAACAGTTTTACTTTCAAAACATTCTAATTAACAATATTTTAAATTCTGTTTGCACAATTAAATGAGGTTTACTTTCAGCTGCTGTCAAAAGTAAACAGCAGCACTGTTTTGCCAACGTAGTTTCCTTGCTTATAACACTGAGCTTTCATACTAACACTACACTGTACATTAATTCATTGTAACCAAAGGATCTCTTTAAGAAACTAACACCAAAACTAAATATTTAATGCACAGTCCTTGTTGCGTTTACAAAAATAAATGTACTTAAATCCTAAAACTGTGCTAATTTCCCAAAGAATTATTCTAAAAAAAAAAAATCATTTTAGACAGATTAATCTCCATTGAAAAACAGTAAATATTTTACATCCTGGAAGGAAACCTTGGCATTTAACACCTAAATATTAATCATTTACAACAATATTACAATTTTCTACCTTTTTCTATATATGCAATTAACCATCTACGATATACTAAATTTTCTTGGTTACATAGTATCAAATGTACAGAGCTATTATATACCTTATACCCAACAAACTTTTTACTTGTTTTTGTAATCGGAAAATAACAGTTTTGCTCCGACATGTTTACAAATGTTTCTGTATTCATCAAAGAACCTCTTTTACAAATGTCCATCAATAAAATAAACTGATTAATTAATTAAGTTTTTAAATGAATAGGAAATTATTAATAAATAATGCCTAAAAAAAGATAATGCCACCATATTTTTTATCACTCGCAAAGTTTCTGTAAACACATTTTTTTGAGTAAGCAGAATTTACATGATGGAGCATAACAATTCCATTAAACTCTATTCCATCTGGTAAGTGCCGCATACTCAAATAAATTCCATGCGATTACTGACAAACATGCCAAGGAATGTTAACAAAATTATAATGCAATTTTTCATGGGTAAAGTTCACAAACCTTATCAAAGTATTAAATGATACAAATAAAAATTTTCTGGTCAGGTTTATTTTTCGCTATCCTGACTTAGCTGTTTCTCTTGTGGAAGGCTTTCTAAAGAAGAGACATCTTTCCTGTACAGATGCTTGTGGGTTTTCTCCATATGCTCAACCAAAGTCTTGAGGCGGGTGAAGCTGTCAGTACAATGGCGACACTTATGGACCTTGCCAAGATTAATATGATGTCGAGTGAGCATGTGACCTTTGAGGGTCCCACGGTTGATGAAATCCTTCCCACAAACGGTGCAGATGAATGGTCGATCACCAGTATGAGTGCGCTCATGCAGTTGCATATTACTCTTAACGGTGAAGCCTCTACCACAATACTGGCATTTGTAAGGTTTATAGCCAGTGTGGATACTCAGATGTGTGGTGAGTACTTTCTTTGCTACAAAACCTTTTCCGCAAATGTTGCACTTGTGTGGACGCTCATTGCGATGCCGCTTCATGTGGGTGTTCATGTAGTGACGCTTAATCTCCTTATGGCACAGGTTACAACGAACTTTCTCCATGTCACGATGTGCCAGCTTCACATGCATCATGAGGGATCCTCGAAAGGCAAACTTCTTGATGCATGCATCACATGCCAACTTCTTTTCATCAGGTTGGACATACCGCTCAACATGACTCTCGATCATTCCTATAGATGAGTACGTCTTAGAACAGGATTTGCACTTGAATCTTTTCCTCTCACAGTGTTTCTTCGCATGCTCTAGTCCTTCCTTCAAATTCTTGAGGGTCTTCACACATTTGTTGCAGAAGTAAACAGATTCACCTGATGTTCCCTGAAGATCTACTTTCTGAATTGAGAAGTTGTTTAGAAGGTATGCTTCATCCATCACTCCTTCAGGCATCTGAAATTTATAAATGGTCTCATAGAAGACAGCAGCTTCTTTCGCTTGCAGCACTTTGAGTCGTTTGTCAAACACTACTCTATATTTGTTCCAGTTCTTGCTGTCAATCTCCTTTGCAGCAGTACATTTTTTGTCTGGTTCCGAAGTAATGGAGTTAAGAGATGTTTCCAACTGCTGGTTTTCACTCTCAATATATTTGTAATCATCTGGTGGGTGTTTACCATTAACACTAAGGTCAAGAGCCTCTTCTGTACAAGCCAATTCTTCATTACTTGCAGAATTAATGCATGAAGATGCATTACATGTACCAACAAACTTAAAAAGCCTAAGAGTAAAATCTTGATTCTCTAACAACTGGGTGGGGTTATCATGGCTGGATAACATCTGCAGGATATCATAGCCAATAACATCTTGTTTCTGGGCATCTTTATTAATTAGTGGAAGTTGATAGACTTGCTTACTATATGATAAAGAATTGCTAGATATATCTGGTGAGTCATTATTTTCTGTGATTTCGTTTGAATTTCTATTCAACTCTTTGCCATGAATGATGTTAGCATTATGAGCATATCCATTAGTATGCACCCATTTTTCCTCACGTACTGACAAATCTAGGGGCGTACGACTTGACATTGATTCTTCCTTTAATTTATCTATCTCTTTTCCATCATTTGTGGATAGCTGAGAATTATTTATCATTCCCTTCTTTTGAACAACTTCCAACACAATTTGGCGAGACTCCTTAGAATTTGTAGTTTTCTTTCTTGAATGCAATTCTTTTGGTGGTAGCTCTATCATCAGTTTAGTTGTTGTAGCAAGTTCATCTTGTTGCTCTACTATTTTGATAATCGTTACCATCTGTACCGCATCCTTCACACTTGAACCTAGCCGTGAATAAACTTTGGTACATCCGTTTTTGTCTCCAGCATCTGTACTGGAACTAGATACAGACTTTCTAAGCGGTTCACTTATTGAGCAATCAGAGGGATCTTCATTAACTTTTTCTTTGAGACGACTTATGATATTACTTAAAGACCTCTTGCTGTCTTGGCGTGAGACTGAGTTTTGAGAATTCAACCTACATTCAGATTCTGAAATATTATGGTCAACAACATTTGTAGTTTGAAAAGATGGGCGAGTTTTCTGGTCTTCACTAATTAAGCTTTGCTGTACACTAATTGGCAAGCAATCAGGTGTACTATCTACACTTTCAAACTGAATTTGAGTTGGCATATTTACAATCAGTTCTTGAGCTGATGTGGACTGTATGCTTGTGATTGGTTGGGAAAACTTTGTTGGTTGTTTAACCATTGAAGCAAACATGAGTTGATGTTGTGCAGTGAGTTGTCTGAGTGCTGCATCTGCCTGCTGTCTCATTAGGGCCTCGTTTCTTGATGCTTCCACATTCTCCGCATGCGGCTCACCTCGACGATAAAGCCGTGCCATTGGCCATAGTATCGATGTCTTTGATTTCACTTGTCTGGAGTCCAACACCATCGGTGTGCCAACACCTTGTATGGCACCATGCTGAAGAGGTTGTTGCAAGACTTGTATGTTATTGCTGTCTAATGGTCTTGACTCAGTTTGTTTGAGCTGTGTAAGATCTATTGCTACCTCAGGCACATGGTGATTAGGTGCTTGAGGAAGACTTTGTTCCTTTATCTGCGAGTTATGTAAACTTTGAACTGGTACAACGATAGATGGTACAGTCTGAGTGCTGACTGGAGGGTTTGAATCCATTCTGACTTTCAGGGCTTGGTTTTCCATTTGGTTCTGTATGAATAAGGAATTCATCTGTGCTGGTGTCATAGGTGGGTGCACAAATGGGGACATGCCATAAGTGAAGGGAAAGGCATACGGAAGTCTATTTGGCGACATCATCAGACATCCAGATATAAGTGGTGACACTGTGAAGAGACAGGAATTACATACAATTGTAAATATATGTCAAAATATGGTTAACATTAATTAACGGAATACAAATCTAACTGATTGTTTAACCAATCAATTAATCAATCATATTTTATTTTGGAAATTCAAATTCATATTGAAAAACAAAAACAAAAATGTTAGCACACATAAAGAACAATGTGTTTCACAATATATTTAGTCAAAAACAAAATAGGACAGTTCTTTCTTTAGAATTTAGAAAAACTATGTATATGAGAGAGGATTATATTGACTTTTATTAGATTATGAGATCAGGTATTTAGATTTTAAAAAAAAACAAAACATTACAGTATTATTGCTGGTTCACACTATATATTCAAAAGAAAATATGGATAATCAAGTGTAAATCACAATTTAACTTACTATTGGGAAGATGAACATTTTGTGAAATTGCTGCTGTTGGGTTAACTACAGTACTTGCTACTTTTGGAACCTTGTTTGCACTAAGAAGAAACACAAAACGTAGTGGTAGAATGAATTTTTATTAACAATTTGTGAATACTGAACAGCAATAATATTAATAAAAAAATAAATATATAATAACCAAAACAGCAGAACTAGCAGCTGAAACAGCATGCTGCTCCTATTGTATCTATTGTTACCACCTATTTTGAAAATTATTTATGTGTTATGTTTTATTACATCACTTAACAATCACCTGAAAAGGTGTATGCCTCAGAGCTTGTGTTCAAAGAAACGATATTATACTATCATTTCTATAACCTACCGTTCACATAGTGGTTAGTTTCTGTACTACAGTCTGAAATATTTACACGTTCGAAAATTATCAAAGCTTTCTTTATGTTGATATTTTGATATAATGTTTTTGATTTGTATAAAAAATTATACAAGAAAGTCTCAAAGCAGTTTACAATGTTCATCTCATCATTTGATCAGTTATTTATAAAATTAACTTCTCTCATACAATAAAAAAAAAATAGCAAACTAGCAGAAATGCAATATTCTCCACTCCCCTAGAAATTCTCTTTTTTATCTACCACTAAAAAGTGCACCACCAATACATTCAATGCCAGAACATCCTGCCACTGCCCAGGTACCCATTTTTAAACGAGTAGAAATAAAAAATTCTATTAATACTCGAGAATTGACAATGATGTCAAGATTCTTATCTTACTTTCTTCTCCTCCTCATCGGTCGGAGTGGATGCATGCCATCTTCATCTTTGAGGAATCTTGAAGGCAGGACTCCTTTCCTTAACATCCGCCGCCGCAACTCATAGGGCTCAAAATCATCTAGGTTGAAATGCAGTGAACATACCTTAGTATGTTTCTTCAGCTGTCAATGTAATCAAAGAAAACATCTCATTTATTTCCTTGGCAACAAACTGTATGATGTAGAATCACAGGGGACAGATTTTGCTGCTGGCAACTTGTTCCTGTACGTCTACAAAGGCAAGGCATATATCTCACCACATGAGTATAAGAATTTTGTTGGCAGGAAGGACAGGGAACACATGGAGAAGGCAAGCATCTTTTATAAACACAAATCTGTTTCACTAGAGTATGTAGTAAATTATTAATACTGTAATATATGAAAACTTATATAGCGCCCAATCTGCATAAAAAAAAAAAAATTACCATTTAGATTTTAAAAAACTGACTTTGAAAGCCATTTTCAGAAAACAAGAACAAAATTCAGGTTTTGTGTTCATGTTACCTTTTTAGGCTCAGCTGGTCTAGGATAGCTCAGGCTACTATAGTATAGTGCTCTGATTTTGGGCCTCAATTAAAAAAAAACATATACAGTATTCTCAGAGCTTCACCCTCAATTTCGCAAACTAAATGTTCAAGTTTTCTCTGGGGAAAATATGGTAACAAATATTAATGAACACTATCACAATACTGTACTGTATACTGTTAATGCAGAAAGTAACTGATAGCAATTCAAAAAACCATAAAATTGAGACAATCATTTACTGCAGAGTACGGATGCTAAGGCCATGGGCCATGTAATCCAAATGAACAGGAAACATTGGTACGCATTGATTCATTTACTTGGGGCCAGTTATAGTGGACCAAACTTCCTGTCCTTCCATTAATCCTTAATTTAAAATCCTTATCATTTTTATCGTTATGAATTCTGAACAACTGATTCAAACTTTGTGAAAATCTTTGTTATTGATTTAAAACATTTGTAGTTAAGAATTTATGCAGTGCAAATTTAGTTGCCAAACTACAATTAGTGATATTTTATAAAAGATAAATGTGTCCAGCCTAAACCAAACTAAAAAATGTGGAATATGAATCAATGATGAACAGAAACACTGCAAACAGGAGCACTTTACAAACTGGTAGGAGTAAAACTGTAGTACACTGTAGTATAAGTATAGCAATGTTCCACAAACTTTTAGATTGATGATCGATTCAAAATTCAGACATAAATCGCAATCCACTGACACCCTTATCTACTATTTCTAATCCACACGTAGCCTTAGTGCATCATTTTGGGACTGAGATTAAAATAAGTAAATATTATCAAAATGCCTAATGTTAATTAGGAGACAGAATTGAGATAGCTGATTTTCTTTGTTGATTTCCTTACCCACCAAAATATTTTGGTGACCCGCTGGTGGGTCACAACCCGCAGCTTGCAGAACGCTGTAGTATTCAATTAACTGCTTGTTTGTATATTTTTAGGTTAAATTATTAGCTTTTTTAATTAAAAATTACATAATACAGGATAGTGCCTTCCATTCTAACTATCATAATATCAGTATCTTCGGGTTGATATCATTTAAATGTAGGCCTTTTCCCACCATGATAATGTAAATATATTGCATCCAGGCTACCCTTCTAGTCTTATGAGTGGATATATTAATTATTTGTGAATATTTGCCTCTGACCCTTGACATATTTTGCTACAGTGTGTGTGGTAGAATAAATACAACCTAAAATTGATTTAAAATAGAGCCATTGTTGTCATGAATTGTAACTACGAATATACACTATTTCATTATGAGTGTATAACAATAGAGAACCTCAACAACTCATTGAATATTCCAAGCTACAATAAACAAAGAAAGCACACCGTACCGTAATAATTCACCATGAAAGAGCTATAAGATATTGATGCAAATACAATAGGCCTACTATAAAAAAAAAAATACATTCTACAAATATCGTAAGCAGTCGGTAATCTTATCCTATCCTATAGAATCCGCGCTTATGTTTATACAGTAGCCTTCTATGCTCAAAATGTTACATGTCACATGTAACATTTTTATGACAACTTGGTAATTTTTAGCAGGTTTGAAACTGCACAAGAAAATGTTTGCAAGTCGGAGTCAAAACTGTGTAAAAGAGTAATTAGTAAAGGTGAACTAATAGTTACTGTATACCAGGGGTTGGGTTAACATGAGGTGAACTACAGTATGATAAATGTGATCTTATCAAGGCAATAATGATGAATATATCAGATCAATGAAGTAGTACAGTATAGTGCAATGAAAAAAAAAATCAGGTCTGGTCAGAGTTGGGAGGAAATGTAAAAAGGCAGCGGCAGATCCAGGATTTGAAGGAGGGGTGGAATTCAAAATGTTTCCAAAAAACCCAAAAAAGAAACAGGGTTTTGGGAAAATTTTGATTACAAATGGCCGGAAATGAGCTTTCCGGACTTCTGATGTGTGTTTTAATGACTTTTAAGTTCTTCAAAATTCAAGATTTCCCCTCTTGAAAAAGTCAGATAGTTTTATCTCAATATTATTATAGTAAGTAGGCCTATTATAAAGAAAAAAAATCAAAGAAATTATATTCCAATACTGAGTAGTTGGATACACTTTTTTCCAACGGGCCTGAAGAATGCACTTTCGTACAAAAATTTATGTTTACGATATCGAACCAAAAATAGTGTTTTTAATTTTATTTAATTGAAGGCTTAGGTAGGCATACTTATGCCTAGGTTAGCATGCTTTGGGTAGGCCAGTAGTACTTTTTGCTTTCTTCCAGGGAAGTTTGTCGGAACCCCCTCAACCCCTTGGATCCGCCACTGAAAGGCACATTTATCATTGGCTCTATTAAATACTTTAACCCCCACCATAAACATGGACCCACTGGCCCCAGCCAAATGTCTCGCACCATTATATTTCTGACCTACTGTACCATAATCCCAAAATAGTCTAGTTTGATCATATCTGGTTCAAATTTCTTTTTCACATTTATTTGCCTTCTTCAGATAATAAGTCTAGAATTTGTTTCCATCTTTTTCAAAAATAAATGTATCTATCATTGTAATATTACAGTAATCAGTAGGCCTATCATGGATAACTTCTAGATCTTTGAATATTTGAATTTGATATAATTAATTGATTTCTTCATGTACCCATGGAGGAAAGAAATAGATACTTACAGGTGGTTTGGGAATGCTGCCTTCAAAATCAAACAATTTCTCAAACAATGGCGCCAAGTAAACTAAGCGTTTGAGATTTGTGCCTCATTCAGAACCAACTTTTGAACCATGCAATATATAAATTTATTTTAAAAGTTATAAAAAGTAAATCCCCATTATGTTTTGTCTGGTAGCTGTAAAAAACTATCATTACATAAACTTTCTGTAAAGCTCAATGATCCAAGTGAGACTGCAGACAAAAGATACCATCAAGTAATTCTGAAGTACCATACTGTAGGATGTTAATCATGCTAGAACTCATTGTCAATCTACTAACTGAATTTAAGCCCTAAGCGAGGGAACTTTACATGCTTCCTTCTCGTTACCCATCACAAATTTTGTTGTATAACATTTGACCTTCCTGAACCTAGCCTCATTGTTCATTTCCTGAGTGATTTTATATTCCCCATTACAGTGTTTTTCATGATGCCGTAGAAATCAAAGCTGAAAACAGCAGTGATCGTACACAAGATTTTTTTTTAAATGAGTTAAAAATACAATAAGATCTATGCTTAATCGTTGTGCTTTTCAAAAATTAAAAAATCATCATAAAAATGAGTTTTTGCAGACTAACATCTTAGAAAGGATGGAGACTTCTAACAGTTGAAAATAGGCTACAAAGATGTGTTGAAATTTTTTTCTCAACTTCTCATCCAAATGTAGTATATGGATTATGGGGGCTTCATCAGCTATAGAAGTGCATAGTTTGCTTCTTGTATTCATTCTACTACTACCATAAAAATAACAATTTTAAAATAACAACAATTAATATCCTAATTCATGGCCAAATAACATCATCAGTATCCCAGGATTTGTTTCTCAGTGTAAACCAGAAAATATTGTTAATATTACTGTAGTATCCAAATGAATCCTCGCCTCCTGCGTCATCCTGTAATGTCATATGTATGAAAATACATCAAGGTGAGATCTGTGCCTACACTGTAGTTAGGTCTCTATAGTCGGATGGTACGATATGATATGATACTCGCCTTGATAGTGAGAGGCTGCAGGTTCGGATCCCACTAGAGCAGGGGTCGGCATAAAAATCAGTCAGAGCGCCAAATTGAATTTTTGATTTAACACAGAGGGCCACACTCAAACTTTGATAATTCTATTTAGCTTCCAAAAACCTCCAAGCACTTCTTTTGTACACCACTTTATTCTCCGTTTTAATGTTAATGTTTACATGTGATCGGTGTCGGGCCATAAAAAACAAGGTGTTTTTTAGCCAATGTAGCTATAGGGTTTTTCATTAGTTTTCGTGGGCCATCAAAAAATTGCTTCCGGGCCGCACTTTGCCCACCTGTGCGGTAGAGAAACTTCTTTTCATACAACTGAAAAAGGAACTTTTTGTTGAAGTGCTATGTTTCAAATGATCATAATATCTTATGTTCCTATTTGAGTTTTGAACACTGTTAATATTAATCTGTTTGCTTAATTGTGTTTATAGTTCATATGAGGCAAACTTAATTTAAATATTAATTACTATGAAATTCTGAGTAGCTACAACATGTTATTCCAGTCCTACTATGTGTGAGTAAGTCAGTTGTAAGGGAAAGTGCCTGGGGTTTAGATTGCACCTACCGGTATACTATGTCCTTCTATGGTCTAATGGTATGATACTGGGCTTACGAGAGGCTGTAACGTTTGAGTAATGCTAGAGACTATTATTAATACAGTACATTTGTACTACTGAAACATCATTATTATTTTCTATTTGTTTATACAAAAATAAATATCAATAACAATATGTAGTGAAGTAAATTTTAAAAACCTAGCAAATAATAATAATAATAATAATATTCATAATAAAGAAATGTTAAATGATTAAAAAAAAACAAAAAGGAAGAAAATGACTGTAAATCAAAATATTGTATTGATGTGAATTCTGTTTAGTTATTAAAAAAACAGATTAAAAAAAAAAGATTTAGAGGGCTGGACTGTCATGAAGCTGTATACTTACATTATATTACACACTATATACTTGCGTCCTATATTGTTACCCAAATGTGAGGCTGTTTCACAATTCTGTTTTTATCCTGACTTTTGGTTAATAATACACTACTGTATTTCTTTATTATACCACAGTCGTCATACTGTAGGATCGACTATAATCTCCCTTCTCATGACTAACTATTTATATGTATACCAAATTCATCAGTACTGTATCTATCTTAAATTGTTTAGCCGGCTTTATGCCTCTCATTATATAGTCTGCATTGTTTATTAATTAATAACTCCTCCCACTACCATTTTCCTATATTCTTTTATACATATATACATATATATACATATATATATACATATATACATATATATATATATATATATTATATACATACATATTATATATATATACATATACATATATATATATATATATATTATTATACTGCTCTGCATAGCATCGAGCACTATACATTGCCTGAACTGACAACTTTATATTCATTTATATATATATATATGTATATATATATATATATATATATATATATATAT